TATACCACTCTTGGGCATATACCCAAGAAATGCTCAACCACACCATAAGAGCACTTGTTCAGCTATGTTCATATCAGCATTGTTTGTAATAGCCAGAACATGGAAACAACCCAGATGCCCTTCAACTGAAGAATGGATAAACAAAATGTGGTACATATACACAATGGAATACTACTCAGCAGAAAAAAACAATGGCATCATGAGGTTTGCAGACAAATGGATGGATCTAGAAAAAATCATCCTGAGTGAGGTAACCCAGACTCAGAAAGACAAACATGGTATGTACTCACTCATAGCAGGATACTAGACATGAAACAAGGATGAATTGTCTGCTACTCACATCACCAGGGAGGCTACCCGGAAAACAGGACCCCAAGAAAGACACAGGGATCGCCCAATGACAGAGAAATAGGCAGATTTCTATATGGTATCAGCACAGGAAAGAACTTCCGAATAGAAATTCATTTACCCAAGAATCAAAGCCAATTATTAACCAGTGGAACTTCATTAAAACTAAAAGGCTCTCAGACAGTTAAAGACAATCAATTGGGTTAAGAGGAAACCCAAAGATTAGGATGAATATTTGCCAGGTAATATCTAAGAGAGAAATAATATCCAGAATATACAAAGAGTTCAAAAAACAAAGAATAAAGATAAAGCAAACAAACAGCATAGTTCATTCAAAAAATTAGCTTGTGATCTGAAAAGATATCACAAAATAGAACAGAAATAAAAATAACTGAGATATATCTTTAATAATTTGTCATTCCTAGCAATTAGTGATAGAATTAAAATAACTTTGAGATTTCATATTATCCCAGTGAGAATGGCAAAGATCAATGGAAAAACTGAAACAAATGCTGGGAAGGATGAAAAGAAAAGATAAATCTCTTTCTCTGTTGGGGGAACTGTAAACCAGTCCAGTCACTCCAGAAGTCTATATAGAGAACCAAATAAAGCTACAAAATAAATATGACAAAACTACTCCATTTCTTCCATATGCCTCAAAGACTCAATCAACAGCCTACTCCACAGATACTCGAACGTTCAGTAATGTTCATTGGAAACAACCTAAGAGTCCCACAATGGATGAATGGATAATTAAAATGTTGCACATATACATTATGGAATATTATTCAACTATAAAGAAAAAAGTCATTTGAACATAATGGATGGAACTAGAAAAGATCATATTGGATGAGGTAACCCAGAACCTGAGAGACAAACATCATATGTTCTTCCTCATCAGAAACTCCTAGCTCCAAATCCACATTCAAGTGTATAACCTGGAGTAACTGCAGAAACCAAAAACGTATAAAGAAATCATTGTGGGGAAGAGAAGCAATAGATAAGGGAATGGAAGGGTAAAAGTGATCTGAAGTGGAAAATTCGTGCTGTAATTAAGTAGAGAGTGGGAGAAATATAGTAAAAGGAGATTGAAGAGTAAAGTAACTGTATAGATGTCTGAAATGTGTAGGCAATCATATTATTAACTATTTAATTGAAAATTCCTATAGTACATATAACTCTGTATATGTGTAGACCATATACATACGTATATAATATTTTAATGAAATTTCTCGTTTATGCTGACAATGTTCTCCCCAAGAGCCATAGACTAGCAAAGAAAGAAAAAGGAAAAAAAGAAAAATATCAGCCATGAAACACTGTCTTTTGAGTTGTTGCTCAGGTTTGTTCAAGAGACTCCCAAAACTTTTAGGCTATTGCTGTTGCCCTTGATCTCCACCCAGAGGCAGAAGAAGGTAAATCCCTATTATACTTTGGACAGAAGATCCAGAGGACCCAAGCTGGATATGGCATGTATACACACTCTCTGAAGACTAGCTTTAGGCAACATAGAAGCTTCCAAAGCAGGAAAGCAACCAATAATCCTTTCCAGTTATGATGCCTATGAACCACAATAATGACAACCATGGCACAATAACCCTACAATTACAGTAATCATACACATATCCTGAGAGTAACCAATAGTTCTCTGACCAAACTTAAAGCCTGTTCAACAAGAAAAACATTGTCCCTGGTACTGGAAAACTATCGAACTACTTGGTGCTAGTGAAGTCACAGGTACTGGAGGAGAACCTACAACTATCATTTTACTAAGGCAGCACAATCACTAATTACATTATTACTGTCTTTATACCCAAAGATCAGCACAGTTCTCACTCCTCATCAGGGAAACTACTCTTTGAAACATATGAAGATTAGTACAGAAAACCACAATAGATCAAAATACAGACTTGAGGAGTTTAGTGACAAGTGATACACCTAAAACACAACTCTTACACCTAAGGCCTAGGGATTGTTTAGGAAGAGGAGTTGAAAAGATTGTATGAGTCAGAAAAAACAGCAAGTTTTCTGTAAGGTTGTATCTGCTATAAATGCCAGACATGTATCTACACACATGAAGCCTCACCAACATGTCTGTCTAAACATGAACTGAATAAGAATGACACCAATAGACATTAATGTGAAAAGGAGAAAGCTCAGGAGGCATCAGCCCTAACATAGAACTACAGGTAACTAAGGAATGCTGAGATTAAGAGAAATAGACTTCCTCAGGGAAGAGTATACTAACTGGTTATCCAGTATCAAATGGCTAACCCTAAAAATGTATGCATACAAGTCATATTATATGGATGGATTGGGCTGCATTTATATATTATATTTAGAAATATATTTATATATGTATACAAATGAGTACATATATAACAATTCAAAGAGATTGTGAACTTTAAAGAGACCAAGAGAGGTATGTGGGAAGGGTTGGTGAAAATTGGAGATACTCGTAAGGAATGTCTCTGATGCTGGTCTTGGAATAAAGGGGACCCCATTTAGGTTTTCTCTGTCTAAACATGAGAGGACCTTCTCACACAACTCCAGGAGATCTCAGGAATGGGCTTGTAGGCAAATGAGCTGTTGCAACAGTAGAAATTCATTAGTTGGTTAAAAAAAATACAAATGCATCAGTGTCATGAGAAACTCAGAGATCTATACAGCCATCACCTTCCCCACTGAGCTCACTGCCAGGGAGATGCTGAACCTTTTAACTTAACCTGAATCAGACACACCTCTGTTCTTTTTCAGCCACAGGAATTTTCCTAAAAGCATCCATAGTCAAATGATCAGTGTTGAATGCTATTCTACAAAACTCAAGTAGGAACTGATTGGAAGGCCATGATCTGTCCCTTCTGACTTCCTGACCATGTACCATAACCACTGAAGGAGCTCTGAGCAAGGACAGAAGAAAACCAATAGCAATCTAAAGGAACCTAATCTCATAGCTGAGCGGCCTGCACCCATGGTTAAGGCAGCAACATTTCAAGCTCCCAAAACAGACATTTCCTTTGATATGTGTCAACAAAATGTTCAAATTGTTATCTTATTCTAAGGTAAAGTAAACTTTCCATCTCTCTTATAATTCATGTTGGAGATTCTTATTCTCCTGTTCTACATATATTCCAATATTAATCCACTTGCATGTCCTTCCACTGTCTTTTTTTGTTTGTTTGTTTTTCTTTTGTTTTTTTTTTGGTATTATAGTTCATTTCCACAGTGTAACTAAAAGCTTCCCATGTGAAATAAATATTTGGTTCCCAATTATGGCTCCAAAGATTGAAAGAGAGTGGATCATGGGTGCTCTGACTCAATTACTAGATTTATGCATTGCTATGTCATAATTAAATGGCATTATTGGGAGCTTGTGGAAAGTATGAAGTTAGTGCTAACTGAGGAACTAGGGGAATGCTTCTAAAGACTGTGTTGAGTCCCTGGCTTCCTCTTACCTCCCTTGGCTTCTCAGCTGCCATGAGGTAAGCATCTTTCCCCTCTCATGCCCTTCTGCCATGGTATTCAACCTCAACCTGGCAGAGCTGTGTTTGTAGGCACAACCACATTATGCAAGTTTGGACACACTAATTCCCAAGTACATATCTTTAAGGTATTTGGAGATCTCCAGCAATTTTATGTAGTCTGTAATGCACTTGCTCCCTGCTATTGATGCTCAATAAGTTTCTTAATCAGAGCACTGATGAGATTAGTCTGCTTATTCTTTACACAGGAGCACAAAGGATTGCCCTCTAAAAACACTAAATTCTATTAATCGATATGTGATGGAAAGACTGGAGAGCAGCACATGCTAACCCAACATTACATCCAACATTAGAATGCAGAGAGCGTACTTGGTCTCCACAGTTGGAAAGCAGATGAGGGGTCTTCAGAGGGAGTTGTGGCCCCAGACACATGGGCAACAAATATCACATTTTCATTCCTTTGTGGATCCTTAATATGTTGTGTGTTAAGTCTGTGTGTGCACATATATAAGTGTGTATGTATATGTATCTCTTTATGCATGCATGATCTTATATATGCATGTTTGTGTGTATTTGTGTATGTGGATATGTGTGTGGTATATGTGTACAAATGTGTGTATGTACTTATGTATATATGTATGTCTCTGATAAAAATACAAGACAATACATGGATAATGTAAAAATGTGTAACAGCAGGAAAGGGAAGGAGAAATGAGGAAGATCAATGGATATGGTCAAAATGTATAGTATACTTGAAAGACACAGCTTTTATGGTGTTTGTATGCAATGAATATACATTAATAAAGAAAATTAATGTGAAGCAAGATTGCTCAGAGAGCAAAGACACTTGCCACAAAGCTTTATGTCAGACCTGAGATTTATCCCCAGAACCCATATCACAAAAAGAAAGACTCATGTCCAAGTTGTCCTCTGCCTGTACTTGTGCACCTACATACATATAAACATGCATGCTTACATGCACAAAAATATAATTAACTAAAATGTAATTTAAAATTAAGATAATTTATAAAAGTGGAAAGAAAAAACTTGAGAAATATTCAGTAGTAAAGAAGTAGAAAGTCCTCTAGAAGCTAAAAAGAAAAAAAGAAACATTCCTAGAGCAGCAAGCTGAAGTGAAGTATGCCTACATCATCACTTCAGCCAATAGAGTCATATGTAGGACACCAGAACTCCAGAACCATAAAAATACAAATCTCTAATATTGAAGCAACAGAATTTGTGGTAATGTATTACAGAAGGACAGAAAGATAATACTGAGTTCTTTCCTGCATTTCCATATGTAGGTTTTTCATACCGAAAGACACAAGAGACATTGAACCCATTATGTTTTACTTGGCTCAGCAAACTTTCACATCAGGGCTTCAGGCACACTGGCTCTCAGGCAGAAGAAGGAAGTGCACAGGTCCAGGGCTGTGTGTGGTATAGGCAGCTGGTGAGAGTCTCAGAGGAGGTTTTTGTTAGAGGATGAAGCACTGTGGAAGGAGTACTGTGTAGCTGAATACAGTAGTAATCTGCCAGGTCTTCAGCCTGGACACTGCTGATGGTGAGAGTGTAATCTGTCCCAGACCCACTGCCTGTGAAGCGATCAGGGACCCCAGTGTCCCGAGTGGATGCCCAGTAGATCAGACGTTTAGGAGCCTGCCCTGGTTTCTGCTGGTACCAGTTCAAGTAGTTCTTGCTATTTCTGCCAAACAGACTCTGACTGGACTTGCAGTTGAGGGTGACCTTTTCTCCTGCTGACACAGCCAGGGAGGATGGAGACTGGGTCATCAAGATGTCCCCACAGATACCTGTGATCATGAAATGACAATGAACATGCACAGAAACACAAACACACATTATGACAGTTAAATTGTCATTTAATGTCCTTATAATGTCATATTGTCAAAGTATTATTATGTAAGAAATATTATGCCCTAACCCTGAAATAATTATAATATTTTTTAATTTCTCACCAGACACCCAGAGCAGCAAGGACATGAGAACTTGAGTTTGTGACTCCATCTTGCTCCCCCTGCTTTATGATGCAGTTCTCACTGGAAAGCCCTGGTTTATAAATTCTGAGCAGCTGGGCTGGGCTGGAAGGGCTCATGCAAAGCAGTCAGCAAATACAAAAGCAAATGCCTAGGGAGTTTGTGTGAGAGCAGCTGGTGTCAATAAACAGGCAAAAATACCATCACAGAGAGCATGAGCAATCACTGAAAGGGATCCATTTACAGCATTTCCAAGAGAAATCTACTAGGTGCTCTAATAACAGCTGTGGGTTAAAATCCAAGACATAGTTAAATCAGGAATGTGAGGAGTGCTATCTCAGATTATCAGTCCTAGGGAAATCATAAAATATGCTCTCAAAAATTGCAACAACAAATTAGAAAACAGAGTAAGAAGACATGCAATAAAAGAAGGGAGAGAGATGGGGGAGGAGGGGTATTGGGTCAAAATTTGTTATCACCCAAATGCAAAGCCACTCTTACATTGAGGACAATGAACAGTGTCTCAGACATTTGGCCTCCAGTTTCAGGATAAGTATAGGACAGAGATGCAAAGAAAAACCCAGAAATCACTCTGTGGAAATCGTGGGGGTCATGAATTTAAGCCTGGGATCAGAGAAGCTTTAATCTTGAAGCAAAGATAAACCCAGAAGAAACTAGCAAGTATCATCCCCACCACTTTGAGAACTGAAAGATGCCTCTAAATTTGGGGAAATGGAAGGGAAAGAAAAGAAACCAAATGTATTATGGGACTGGGAAACAAGTGGTAGGAATAAAAGTTGTGTCATCTTTTTTTTTTTTTTTTTTTTTTTTGGTTTTTCGAGACAGGGTTTCTCTGTGTAGCTTTGCGCCTCTCCTGGAACTCACTTGGTAGCCCAGGCTGGCCTCGAACTCACAGAGATCTGCCTGGCTCTGCCTCCCGAGTGCTGGGATTAAAGGCGTGCGCCACCACCGCCCGGCTTGTGTCATCTTTTTAAAAAAAAAAAAAAAGAAACCAAATTTCTCCAAGAAGTCATGGCTGTAGACAAACACTGCCAAGAGTGTTTATTCCAGAAATGCATATTCTATGGTAATTTAGAAATTAGCTATATTGAAATGAGTCTAGGTGGTCTTGCTGACATAGTGAACAGATAAAAACTTTTGCCACCAGGGGGCATAGCCATCCCAAATCAAGCAATAATTTTACAAAGACCAATAGACCACAACATCATAGATTTTTGCCCCCCAAGGAAAAAATATTTGTATATGGATGAAAATCAATAGCAATAACAGAAATCAAAAAACCTTCCAAGATTCAGAGTACTGAATTATGAAAATATATATAAGAAGTACATTATAGACCCAGTATTCTGTGTAAAGTACAACAAACAAAAAAAAATAAAATATCATGATAAGGAGCTGAGATTCACATCTATAATCCCAGAACTGGGGAGACAGTAGCAACAGGACCATAAGATTAAAGCTAGCCTGGGGTACACAGCAAGTTCTAGGTAACTCTCTGTGATTTCCTATTTTCATCAATCCTGTAGTGTCTGGAAGACACTGTTTCCTTGATGTCATCCATCCCTCTGACTATCAAAATCTTTCCCTCTCTTCTTCCACAGAGATCCATGAGCCCTCAAGGAGAAGTTTGATGAAGACATTCCCTTTAGGACTGAATGTTCCAAGGTCTCCCCCTCTCTGTACCTTGTCTACTTGTGATTCTCTGTATTAGTTCCTATCTACTGCTACAAGAAGCTGCTTTGATGGAAGCTAAGCAGGACACTGACCTATGAGTATAACAGAATGTCATTAGGTCATTTCATTGCTGTGTTCCCTTAGCAGAAATAATATCTAGATTTCCACTGGGCCCATGACCTATCTAGTTTCAGGCTCTTGATCACCAGAGCAATATCAGGCATGGGTTGTATCTCATGGAGTAAGCATTGAATCTAATTACATAGAAGGTGGTTGCTTCCACAACCATTCTAGATCACAGGGTTTATGGCTGGGTTGGTGGTCACCTCTCTCCTCTGGTAGAATGCAGATTATCTTTCAGCACCATGAACACTAGTCAGTAGGAGTGAAAGCTCTAGTTGGGCACCAGCTCAATTTCTCCATGTTCAATGAGATATGTAAGGGATGAAAGAGAGGAGTAAGAGAAAGAATATAGGGAGGGACAATTAACACTAAGAGCCATTTGAGAGATCATATGGAAACCTACTTCAGTAGAGACTTCCTAACATGTAAACATATGAAAGAAATGTAAGTGAAATCAGCAAATAACAAAGGTTTTTCATACCTCAACTAGACATCTTTTCACCACCACGTGAAACCTCCAGTGTCAGGAATGGGTTACATCTTAATAAGTTGTTGCTCAGAGCGTCCCCATGGATACCCCAAACAACTCTGGCTGTTGCTTGCTCTCCACAGACTGGTGACAAAGACCTATTGCTGGACACTCTTGTTTCAGTACTTGACTTCTTCCTTTCCAATTTATATCCCCTTAATCTCCTTAAGTTGTCTTATTGCTCTGGCTAGAACTTCAAGTACTATATTGAATAAGTATGGGGATTGCGGACAGCCTTGCCTCGTTCCTGATTTTAGTGGAATTGCTTTGAGTTTCTCTCCATTCAATACGATGTTGGTTGTTGGTTTGCTGTAAATTGCCTTTATTAGGTTTAGGTATGTTGCCTGTATTCCTGATTGCTCCAAGACCTTTGTCAAGAGGGGTGTTGGATTTTGTCAAATGAATTTTCTGCATCTAGTGAGATGATCATGTGGTTTTTTTCTTTGAGTTTTTTTTTTTAATCTTTATTTCTACTTTATTATATTTTTTTAATTTTTTTTAATTTATTTTAATTTATTTTGCAATAAAATTCAGTTCTACATATCAGCCACAGATTTCCTTGTTCTCCCCCCTCCCGTCCCCCTCACCTTCCCCTCAAACCCCCCCCCCCATTCCCATCTCCTCCAGGGCAAAGCCTTCCCCACAGACTGAGGTCAACCTGGTAGACTCAGTCCAGGTAGGTCTAGTCCCCTCCTCCCAGACCGAGCCAAACAATCCTGCATAGGCCCCAGGTTTCAAAGAGCCAACTCATGCAATGAGCACAAGATCTGGTCCCACTGCCTGGATGCCTCCCAAACAGATCAAGCCAATCAACTGTCTCACCCATTCGGAGGGCCTGATCCAGTGGGGACCCCTCAGCCATTGGTTCATAGTTCATGTGTTTCCATTCGTTTGGCTATTTGTCCCTGTGCTTTATCCAACCTTGGTCTCAACAATTCTCGCTCATATAAACCCTCCTCATTCTCGCTAATTGGACTCCCAGAGATCCACCCGGGGCCTAGTCATGGATCTCTGCATCCAGATCCCTCAGTAATTGGATGAGGTTTCTACCACGACAATTAGGGTGTTTGGCCATCCCATCACCAGAGTAGGTCAGTTCGGGCTGTCTCTCGACCATTACCAGCAGTCTGTTGTGTGGGTATCTTTGTGGATTTCTGTGGGCCTCTCTAGCACTTTGCTTCTTCCTATTCTCATGTGGTCTTCATTTACCATGGTCTCCTATTCCTTGTTCTCCCTCTCTGTTGTTGATTCAGCTGGGATCTCCCGGTCCCCCAAGCTCTCTTTCCCTCAACCCTCGCCTTTCATTACCCCCACTCATGTCCAGGCTGTTCATGTAGATCTCATTCCATTTCTCTGTCATTGGGTGATCCCTGTGTCTTTCTTGGGGTCCTGTTTTCCAGGTAGCCTCCCTGGTGATGTGAATAGCAGACAAGTCATCCTTGTTTCATGTCTAGTATCCTGCTATGAGTGAGTACATACCAGGTTTGTCTTTCTGAGTCTGGGTTACCTCACTCAGGATGATTTTTTCTAGATCCATCCATTTGTCTGCAAACCTCATGATGCCATTGTTTTTCTCTGCTGAGTAGTATTCCATTGTGTATATGTACCACATTTTGTTTATCCATTCTTCAGTTGAAGGGCATCTGGGTTGTTTCCATGTTCTGGCTATTACAAACAATGCTGATATGAACATAGCTGAACAAGTGCTCTTATGGTGTGGTTGAGCATTTCTTGGGTATATGCCCAAGAGTGGTATAGCTGGATCTTGGGGGAGATGGATTCCTAATTTTCTAAGAAAGCACCATATTGATTTCCAAAGTGGTTGTACAAGCTTGCATTCCCACCAGCAGTGGAGGAGAGATCCCCTAGCTCCACATCCTCTCCAGCATAAGGTGTCTTCAGTGTTTTTGATCTTAGCCATTCTGACAGGCATAAGGTGGTATCTCAGAGTTGTTTTGATTTGCATTTCCCTTATGATTAGGGATGTTGAGCAATTCCTTAAATGTCTTTCGGCCTATGAGTTTCCTCTGTTGAGAATTCTCTGTTTAGTTCTATAGCCCATTTCTTAATTGGACTGTTGGGCATTTTGATGACTAATTTCTTGAATTCCTTATATATTCTGGATATCAGTCCTCTGTCAGATGTGGGGTTGGTGAAGATCTTTTCCCATTCTATAGGCTGTCGCTTTGCCTTGTTGACCATATCCTTTGCTCTACAAAAGCTTCTCAGTTTCAAGAGGTCCCATTGATTGATTGTTTCTCTCAGAGTCTGTGCTACTGGTGTTCTATTTAGGAAGTAGTCTCCTATGTCAATGCGTTCAAGACTACTTCCTACTTTCTCTTCTAGCAGGTTCAGAGTAGCTGGATTTATGTTGAGGTCCTTGATCCACTTGGACTTAAGATTTGTGCACGGTGATAGATATGGATCTATTTGCAGCCTTCTACATGTTGATATCCAGTTTTGCCAGCACCATTTGTTGAAGATGCTTTCTTTTTTCCATTGTGCACTTTTGGCTTCTTTGTCAAAAATTATATGTTCATAGGTGTGTGGATTAATGTCAGGGTCTTCAATTCGATTCCATTGGTCCACATGTCGGTTTTTATGCCAGTACCAAGCTGTTTTTATTACTGTAGCTCTATAGTAAAGCTTGAAGTCAGGGATCGTGATGCCTCCAGAAGTTGTGT